TCCAATGGGAAAATATTCTATTGGACTTTTCCAATGCAATGGAAAATGATTTATGATATATCCAATCGGAGAATTATCTTTGATTATGGGTAACACAATGTACATAGGCTATTTTTATTTGTGGCGTTTTCCATGGGAAAATATTACCTTAGACTTTTCCAAAAGGAAAATGATCTCTGATAAATCCAATGGGAGAATTATCTTCGATCGTGAGTCATACAATGTACATAGGCTATTTCTATTTTATCCGATTTCCATGGGAAAATATTAATACTAAAAGGATCTATCATGATATTTTGATTATTCCCATTGGAAAAGAAGTCCATATATTTCCCATGTTGGATATTAAGCTTGGATGTTTCCATTGGAAAGGAATATCTGGATGGTTTCCATACACAAATATATTTTCCATTGGGAAATTGGTCTAGGATATTTCTGATAAAATTATTTTGGAAATCTCCCTTGGCAGATTTTGGGCAATTCCCATTGGGTAAAATTCCGACAATTACCATGCGAATAATGATCTTGGAAGAAATACAGCGTTTCCATTGGCTGACAAAAAAGTTGGACACTAAAAATAAATAGAAAACATTTTCTGTTAGCTATCTATCTATACGCTGTTTTAAAAATAAAACACAGCACAGAGGGTCTCATAGCATTAATGTGGTTTCCCAGTCAGCCGCAAACTTTGCACGGACCTCAGTCTTTGACTTCGAAGTATATTGCGTGGTGGTTTTATATAACATCGCTTTTTCTTGTAAAATGTACTCAAATTGTTGGCAGTCAGCTTATATTACGCGTGCTTTTGTTAAATAGTCCTCGCAAAATTTTAACGGTCCAACAAAAAAATTATAGTGCCTGGTCAAGCAGTCACTATCCTTTTTGAATATTTTACTATTTAAAGGCTCGCTGACTCTTATATTAATAAAGAAGGAACACATACATGTATAATATAATACAATAATAAGTTTTAACATATTTCCCAACTTGCCAAATATACTTTTCTCTGTCTATTTTAACGTCATTTGATTTTAAAATAAAGCACATAGATGATGCAACCATAACGCATATATCGTGAGCTTAGTGCGGAATAGTTGAGATAAAAGAAGAGAAGTGTTTCATACCAATCCATAATATCTTAATGAGAACATTGATTGATAAATATATGATTATTTGCAGAAATTTTTAAAGATTTGTACCGGACTATGTACTCGCTACGGTGTTTACAACTTCTGGTATTCGTATGATGGTGTTTTTCTTTAGAATTACAGCACGTGTTGCACTTGTGGTTTGTAACACGGAAACCGGAAGTTGGTGACACGAACTCTTCTTCCTACACTCTCATGAAGGAAGCAATGTGTCATTATAACGGACTATTTCCGACAGTTTTATTCGATGATTTCATCTAATCCTGTTTAACCTTCGACCTGCATGCAGCGATCAGAATAGCCCTTGCAAATAACTTGGTACGAGACTAGGTACAAATACTTTTTTAGATTTTAAAGACTCTCTGTCATTTGGCTAAAACCATTTGGAACTATTTCTCAAGGAATGACACGCATATTAAAAATGCAAACATGATAAATAGAATATCAAAACAAGAGTCTGATATCACAAAATTTATCAGGCAAGTGTCACGGTTCAGAACTGTTCACTATTTAGGGGGAAAATGTGTGAGCGGCCGGATAGCTCAGTCGGTAGAGCCGCGGTGCGGTATTCCGAGAGTCCCGGGTTCAAGTCCCGGTCAGCCTGCACATTTTTCTCACCCTGTGACACAAGGCTAAGAGAAAAAAGGAGAAGATTTTTTTTATCATTTTCAGAGTAATTAGGCAGTAACACTTTTTTTAATTTTGATCAAGAGATAAATTAAAAAAAATAATAAAAAAAACGAGCAGACGAGAAATTCCTAAACATGCAAACGATGAAAGTAAATAGTCATTAAAATTTGTTATTTCTTGTTACATGAAAATTTGATTCAGTAACCTCATCAATTAACATATCACGTGATTTTAAAATGCATGCATTTTATTACAGTTTAATGAATTGTGTCATAGTTGATATTATGATTCCTTGAATACGTTTTATTTTTACTAGCGATTGTTCGTGCCTTTAAAAAAAGATTAAATTACTTTTTACTTATTAATTATGTATATATTTATAAATTGTTCACATACGTTTTGATAAGATGTGTACACGAACATTGTGTTAATTTTAATAAAAGTATATGATACTGCTATTTCTAATTAAAGGCCCGTTATGCTTCAGAAATGATTTTATTTTCATTTCTCAAAAACCTTTTATTTATTCTTTGTGTCCTACTATAGTTTACAAAAAATAATTCTCGTCGTTGGCCAATATCAAAACCGCATTTTTTGCTCTTGTTGTATTTTGGCAATTTGTAAAAATATAGTCATTTATTATTTTGAATGGAAGCCAAAATACTACATTGTTTACATTTTGCTACTTTTATGACAAAAAAATCACAGTCAGCGCTACTTTCTTCATGTGATAATCATTCAAAATGCTCTAAACTTATCATTTTAATATTATAAAATTCATGCTTGCCTTTTCAAAATCATTTCTGAGGCATAATGTGCATTTAACCTTCAGCATTTAGGTCCTAGTCAGGTAAACAAGTGTTAGTAAATTTGTGACAAGGTGGGTTTGATGTAAATTTGTCTATGGTTTGAAAATGCAGTGAAGCAGCGTTATGAACTTGAACACTGTGCAACTCTGTCTCTAATTTAAGTTGTGAGGTAGTCTAGTATCAAAAGCTTCAGACATCTCGAGCGTTGAGGTGAAACTGCAATTAGTGTCAACATCTTTCGGATTGTTCACAATTGCAGACGACATTTGTAATATAATATGATGTAATGATATGATTGAAATGCACATTTATTCTTTATTACTTAAATTCAACACCTACATTATACCCACCTATGTTAACAAATGAGTTTTTATATCAGTCACATCAGCTATTTTAACGGCCTTAAGACGGTGTTTGTAATTTTACCACATCGTTCTTTTCACTTAAATTAATAGATGAAAAGAATACAACTTTAAAAATGTAGATGAATTGAAATAACTCAGAAGTTTAGAATTACGTTGCATTTAATACAAATTAGTTTAGCTTATCTCCTCGTAAATCATAAAGTAAGTCACTATAATACTAGATTTCATTTAATAGGTGTGTGAAAAACGTGAAATTATGGGTAAATTGCGAACTTTTTATGCTACCTACAGTTAGAAATATTCACGATTAAATCAGACATATTTTTACCACTTGAAAGATTTTTTCCTACTTATGTAGAACCTAATATGCTAGCTGTATAGTAGAGTTCTTATCATTTATCTATTTAGTTACTTATATTATTGTTTGATTGATTGATTGATTGATTGGTTGATTGATTGACTTATTTATTTATTTATTTATTTCATTTTATTTATTTTGTTTACGTATTTAATCTATTTACTTATTTATTTTATCATTTTATTTACTTATTTATCTATTTTATTATTCGATTATTTATTTATTTATCATTTCATTTTATTTATTCATTTATTTCATTTTTATTTGTATGTGCGGGACAGTCTTATGCTCTTTTATTCCGTCATGAGAGTTCTGTATGCAACAATCAGAAGACAATCTTATATCAATATTTAAAGAGTAAATCCCATACAGTTGTATAAATCTTTTGTTGATCATAAAGCTTCAGCTTTACATTATGATTCCGCTAAGCTTGTGCACACATTTAAGTACACGTATCATCAAAAGTACAAACCCAAAATAAGACAGCATGCTAGTACATAAATATATATATACATTATATTACCATAATAACATTACATAGACAACACAATATAATTTAAAAACATACACACTTTACTTCGTTTCCCTGATAATTGTTGTGCAAACTCTTAAAAATGCAAAAATAATAAAAGAAAATAAATAGATATTTGATTATATGTAAGTAGTGATGCTGGACAAAGTTTAACTTTATCATTAAGGATTGCAAGCTTACTTATATTGTTCTAACATGGGAATAATTAAAATTCCAAGAACAAAAACACGAGCATTTCTTTCCATAATGCGTAGGATTGTTTCCTGACAAGGTTTTGATAGAAATGATTGAGTTTTGTTACAGAAGCCGAATTACCGTCTATCTGTGGCAATGTTCATGTGTTCATACGCCTGGTTTATACATCAGCACATTTCTTGGGTTACTTAGGTAATCTGTGTTTGTTATTTTACTGCAATTGATTTATGTAAGTTTTTTTGTAAACTGTAAAACAATATATTTGTATTTCTGCCAAAGTCATTGAGTAACCAGCTGGGAAAATGGCGTCCGTATACAATGAACACTAAACGGGCAGAATAAAAGTCGTCTGCATCTTTCTTCCTACATGTTTTTCAACAAGGCGTCTACTTTGTTTTTTTTGATGAGTTCGTGAATAGTTTCAATGTTTCTATTTCTAGTATAAATTTAACGTTTGACTTCGACTACAAAGGAAGTGTTTTTTACTTTGTTTTATACTCAAATGATGAAACCGGAAGTGTACACTTGGTGTCGGTATCAAAGTGCGCAAAATGCATTTATTAGCTAAACAATGGTTTACTTTTAATTAAAATTTTACATACATCATCATATCTAACATCATCTTATAAAGATAAAACAAACTCATATAATGAATATTTTTGGCATTTACGGGAAGGCAATATTTCATTGTATCAGAATTGTGACTTTGATAAGATGTGACGTCATTATACGATCATGGTCCGAGAATTTAACCACATTCTACAAGTTAAAATTCCAATTTCTGGTATATTGGTCATAAAAAAACTGTCACAGAATGTGCACTGATCAATGAAAATCTTGAAATTTTGAGACAAACCTCATTGCCTGGTCCCATATTTCACAGATATATTTCCAAACATTGTTTAACATTTTAAATAAGGATTATTTTTATTATTTTTATCTTGTATACATTTATATTTTCAGGATCAGATTTACCATTCCATTAGTACTGCTGTACATACATTTCACCGCTAGATCGGCAAGTGCTCAAGAAAATCAAAAGGTACGTATTTTTTTTTCACCATTGTTAATATGAATTGCTTGGCCATCCTAAAAAAATAAGTTACATTAGTGTGATTTTGCGAATTATTAAAATAAGTTATAGTTAGTGCGGTTTTGTCCGTATGCTGTCATTATTATATCCATCCCTAATTGTTCATAATATCTGATGGGAGTATATATTTTAATGCAAATATGTACTGGGCAAATGAGAAACAATTATATACAGAAGCTGACAAGATATGGTGTGTTGTCTTCAAGCTGACACTATATTAGTTATGGCATTATTTCGGTACATAGTCTCAATTCAAAGAGAATTACGAAAACGTTAACGGGCCTCCAATAAGTGAGATCATGATGTGTATATATATGTTAAATATATCACTGGGCTCCTTTGTTGTTGTCCTCAATTGATACAAGAAAGAAATATCTCATCAGCGCGTATATAGTCCATTACGTGTCAATCTGTAATAAACCTTTTAAAAATAAAAAAATGTTTCCATGACAACCTGTTGGTCTTTTGCATGACGAGTCACAATGGATGATGCATTGGTATTCATGCCAATTTTAAAGTGATAGTAAACGGTTAATTTGACTATACGATAATCACATAACTTACAAGGTACTTCAGTTAATTACGCTTACGATGAAAATGTCGTAACAGAAGATTGGATCGTGCTAATAACGCGCTCGTGCAGGTGTTCTTAGTTATTCAACAAAAACTTCCTGCACTTCTAATTATAAAATGATTACAACATTGGTGGGGAAAATAAAGAACGGCTGAAAATTAAAAAGAGATGATAATTAAGTAGCATTGTTAAGATAATTTTATGAAACAATAACAAACTTTATATACAATGTACTTGGACTCGTGTCCTTTATCAGAATCTGTTTATAAACAAAAAGATCATACATGTGATTGGATGTGCCCATAATATACAAAATTGGCCCAAAATATAAACTTTTCAATGATTTTTGTCACATTAGGCTTCACAATGTGTTAACCTACTGGAGATAATTTGTTCGAGCCTATTCGTAACTGAATGATAAAGTTAATGACATCAATTTGTATTACAAAAAAAAATGAACTGTCGTTTGTTTTAGAACTGAACATAAAGTTAAACATTTAAACACTGTCCCGGAGTACAGACCTATGCTATACATGTATTTGACATAGTAAAATACGGGACATAGTCCTGTATTTCGTTTCCGAATGAAACAAAAAGAAGCAGCCGGCAAGTCGCCCAATTAATAGATTGACTCCCCCGCTTATAGCCCACAAAAGAAATATAATCAATAGGGGTAGTTATAATCTTTGTTGTTATTATCATTATTTTTATGATGATGATAATGATGATGATGATGATAACGATGGTGATAATGATGGTGATAATGATGGTGATAATGATAATGATGATGAAATCTTATTGATTAAATTGAAAGTTTTCTAATATGAATAACGATTACAAAAAAGGATAAAGTAAAAATGCACAGAGGTAAGTATATAGCTAATTTAGAGCAAAATGGAGTTTAGATTTTAAAACGGGTTGTACGTGTTTCGTGTGTATGACAGACCTCATATGTAAGTAATTAGAAGAAATGCAGTTTTTATTAAATATATTTACAGAAATCCTTAAAATAGTGTACACTTCTTACGCTCTTGAAGATGAAAGAACAACTTCAAAAAGCAGACCATAAAAAACTAAGTATTTGGCGCGTGCGCGTTCTTTACAATTTAGAGTAGATATAGATTTAATGTCGTCTGCACGCGTCGCTTTCGCTGTCTTGATTTAGATGATTTATTGAAGATAAAATTTGTTTGCAAGAATTATAAACAGAAAATAAAAATATAAAGTAACAGCTGAATTAAACATGGGAGGAAAAATCAAATATATAAATGTTATTTGTTTCGAGTCGACTTTAAAGATCTATATATTCTGTTATATCTTTAATTCTTATCGAATTAAATCAGAGAAGTATTCATTTAAAACAAAGTATTTGACATGAATTCCTAGATTGTGAAGGTTATAAGACCATTCTACATCACCTCGATAAATTCGGCAAGCTTTTATTAAATATTTAAACTTTTTTTTCGATTCTTCTGTCCGGTCTTACATGAACTGATGCCATTTTACAAAACCTGGCAAATTTCAAACTGCGATTGCCGCCCGTGCCTCATTAAAACAAAGTTGTTGTCCGTGACATGCTAAAGCAAAGTTGTCGCTCGTGCATCGTAAAATAAGAGTTATCGCCCATGCCTCATTAAAACAGAGTGGTCGCCCGTGCCTCATTAAAAAAATGTATCACCCGTACCCCATTCAAACAGAGTTGTCGCCCGTGCCTCAATAAACAAAGTTGTCTCCTGTGCCTCATATAAAAAAGTTATCGCCCGTCCCTCATTTAAACAGAGTTGTCGCCCGTGCCTCATTAAAACAGAGTTGTCGCCCGTGTCTCAATAAAACAAAGTTATCTCCTGTGTCTCATTAAAACAAAGGTTTCGCCTGTAACTCATTCTCATTCAAACAGAGTTGTCGCCCGTGCCTCAATAAAGCAAATTTGTCTCCTGTACCTCATAATAGCAAAGTTGTCGCCCATGCCTCGTTAAAACAAACTTGTCGCCCATGCTTCATTAAGGAAAAGTTGTCGCACGTGCCTCGTTAAAAAAGAGTTGTCGCCCGTGCATCATTAAAAAAGAGTTGTCACTCGTCCCTCATTTATACAGAGTTGTCGCCCGTGCCTCATTAAACAGATTTGTCGCCCGTGTGTTATATTAACATGCAATGTAAGCAGATATGTAATAGACGGATTTTATTTACAATAATATTAAAGAGGCGTTAGAATTTAAAGAACAAGAAAAAGCATGATTAGTTGATGATGAAATTAACTAAATGTACACAATTTCAGATTCTATTATTTTGGTACATTTCGACTCAATTGGGAAACAGAACGTTCCGTTTGACTTTTTTTTTCTGACTATTTTTATTTCTTACTTTCTTGTAATGGAATGACTCGTAAATTATGTTACAGCAGACGATAAATTGAAGTGGCACTGACAGGTAGATCAATGATACTGGGATGGTAATCATATCAACTTGAGTTCTTTATTTAATAGAAAAAGAGTGATCTTAAATTAAAAAACAACAACATTAAAACAATAAAAATCGTCATAATATACTAGTGTATAAAAAGAAAATAATTATGAAATTCAGAATATCTTTTTTAATACTGAATACAGACATATACATAGCCCAGTATTTTAGAATTCGTCAAACTCTATTATACTCGGCCAATGCTATGAATGGGTGAACTTTTAAATTCTACGAAGTTCAAGTAAACATTTTAAAATAGGAAACCGAGATGAACATCGGCGTTTAGGCAAAAAAAAAAAACGGCGAGTTATTCCGAATGAGGGCCTGACTCACACCGTCACGTGAAACGTACTTGATATTTTACAAGAAATTGAAGGTAAAATACCCGGATGTCAGGCTGGCATGGCTGCATACTTGTGACATAGGCTCAACATTTTTGGTTACAGCAGATTAAGCTGCACGCAGTAATATATTGCGAACTTGTTTTATATCAGAATAACTCGTAAAAAAATTTGTTGACTTAGCATACCTTTTTTTGTCCTAAAATGCCTAATATTTAGACGGGTCTGAGTTTTTTGCTTTTGGAAGTCATTTTATATGAAGAAAATGCTTTAGCTTGAAGCGAATGTATGTCGACATTTAAAGTGTGCAGTAACCACAGACATGTAAAACCAGATGTAACGTCGGATAGTAATATAAACAACAATTATAGTGCACGTGCAACAGGTGTGTTGTATTTTATGGGAACATTCTGAAGTAGGCGTTTTGAAATTTTGCTGATATAAGATGTCTCTCTGTGTGTTCGCACAAACGTCTGTGTTCCGATCTTTGATAACAGTCATCATTTAACGTTGACGCGGCTGATAATTTTATAATGTAGCTTAAGATATGCACGTATGTAGCTAATATGTGCTAAACGAAGAAGGTTCATCTGTCTTCAGATGCCTCCAGATTCATACAAATTTTATTTTCATTAAAATTACAAAAATGTATTTAAAAAATAAAATAACGTAAAGTGAACAAAGAAAATAATTTACAAATTACAAACGGTATTTGCAATCCACATAAATTATCAAAAAGTAGTCAAAATAGTTAGTAACGCAGTAGGAAACGGTGATACATACATATAGCAAAATCAAGCCTTAGTCGCACATAACATGTAATTTATAACTTGAATTTTGGATATCTTAATTTTTCTTAAAATTTTAGTGCATTTTTTTTTCAAGTTTTATTTTTTAGGAATATTTTGGCTCATCTTAATGCATGCAGCTTTAAAGTATAAATATTTTTTACTGGGCAAAATACAGTTCAAATCCATTGAACTTCAGTTTGAAGATATGACCATTTCTGCTATGAGAAACACAAAATGCTTTAAGTGCTTTCAAGAATTTATAACTGAGAACTTATTCCAGAATGAACTTTATTGTTCTGTGAGAAACACTGCAAGAAATTCTTAATTCTAGTTTAGTCACTAGTTTTTAGCAATGTTTTAACTTAAGTACGAACTTTACTGCTTTGAGAATCACTAAATAGTGTGTGAATTACATATGGATCAAATCTTCGAGTAAAGTTTGATTTACATTTAGCACGAATGTTCCATGTAACATCTGTAAATTCCTAAGGGTGAAGTATAACAATAGATATTTAGATTCATTTATTTGTTTTTAAAGGTACTTGGCAGGATTCAAAGTGTCTAAAATGAACAGTTAATTACGTAATAAATTACTTTTATCGCATCAATTCATCTGTTTGTAATAGAAAAATAAAGTATAAGATAAACAGTGCATCATATTTTCGGTTTTTGTGAAAGTGAAGAATAAACATTTTTTAAACGGGTATTATGCAGAACAAAATCATTTATAAGGATAGAAATTTTTCCTACTATGTACCGGCATGGTGTTGAATTACTATTTGT